TGGTTAATGTCAGGTTACTGTCCACGTGTGGGATAGATGGGTAATGCCTTTAATGACGTTCAGCTACGCGTGTTTGGCAAAGATTTCTACGCTTATGAACACATCTCTCTCATTTCATGCGATTGTTTTGAAGAAGCCACAACCAACCACGTGTTTGAGGACATTTTCTCCATGTTTTCAAAGCATTTCTCAGGAACCGCTGCTGCTGAAGACACTCATGAGTTTTTGGCCCTGGGAACGTGAAGTTGGGCATCTGAACTCTTCAAAATACTAAGCACCTACGAAAGAAAAGCCAGTTACATATAAGGGGTGTGTGTGTATATATATGGTCATGAGCACATGATTACGCACACTGTTTTTACAGCTGAAATGTAACTGTCTCACAGGTGTCCAAGGCATTGAGAAAAATTATCCAGAACCGCTGATTTCTAATTTTAATCTCTGACTGCTGTGGCATGGCCTCCTGTCTTCTCTAATAGTTGAGTCCAGACACATACATGACAAGTGCCCTGAATAACAGCATCAGCATCTTCTTAGTTTGAATTCAAGCCATCCTTTATGGCTGGGTGTAAGCTTGCTAGGAATTTCGCTGTGGGCCTAGAAATAATACAAGAGCTGGTTAAAGACGTACCAGCAAAGCTTTATTAATCACTTCCAAGAACTACTTCCCTTAATCCACAACAGTCTTGGAAAAAAACCCTGTATTCTCTCTTGCCAAAGAGTACCCCTGAAACCTGGTCGTGCCCGGGTAGCCCATGCTGGAGAGGGCATGGCAGTCGTCAGTCCCATCCCAGATGCTGTGCCAGCGACGGTTGTGCCTAACCGGTGCCCGTGAGCCCGGCAGTGGTGCGGTGCAGTCTCTGTTGGGGCTCGTGACAGCAGCCAGCTGTAGTTACTAACGTCTGACTGTGATCACAGAAAGGGAGTTTGTATGGAAGGAAATAAATTCAAGGGAAAGCTGTTTGTGGGGGAAAGGGAGAGGGTCAGGACAAAATATCCACATACAGGCCATGGAAAGATTGATGTTTTCCAGAGGCTCTGTCATGCTTGTTGGAGATCAGACTGAAGCTTGCGTAAGAGTGGCAGTGAGGCTCTTCAACATCTGGGCAGTTTGCAGGGTTCTGCCTCAGATCTTCACTGTCATAAATGTTGTTCAGTAAATTTTTCGCCCAGCAGGCTTTGACAGGATTTGTTCCTGTCCTCACTACTGTAGTTCTCACGTTTATGCCAGGGATTGTTTATTCCTGCTTTGCGCTGGAAGTGCTGAGAACAGCAGACAGGGTTTCTTGGCCCTTGGTACCTCCTGACCTCTAGAGCATGAATACTGCAGTATCACGGGAACCAGGTTGGAAAAAAAGCCTGTAGTAACTGACCCCGCATTTGATATGTTGGAGAGGATTGATTTAAAGAATGCTGTTGTGGTTTTTAGGTTTTATTACTGACTTCACATCTGCAAATTCTCTGTGGACCATGTAGACATCACCTGTAATTCTTAGACTTGTTTCTTTCAAAACTCCAGTTCTTGCTATAAGGATAGGATTTCACTAATGAAGTGCATGTCTTGCGATATTGATGTATAAAAAGAGCTTGCCTGCAAGCTTGGTCTCTCTCTTCCCTGCATGCAAATTAAATGCCGTTTTATTCCAAGAATTTGAAGAACTCTTTTAAAAATCAAATACGCCTGGGGAAAGCCTGCACATGGATATTGATTAGTTTTATGATGTCTGCTGCTAACTGCATTGCATTCAGTCCTGAAATGAAATGAGTCATGAATGCTGTATAGCAGCGGGAGAGCATCTGTTTGAGTTGCATATGACAGTCTATTAATATTGATGGGACTGGGTGATGTACACAGAGAACACTTCCCGGTGTGTGAGGTTATGATATGTACTAGTTAAAAGGAGTGGGAGTAGGATACATTTTACTTCCCAGCCCACCTATTGACACATTGGGTGACCATAAACCAGAGTTAACTTCTATGTGCATCTGTTCGCACTGCTGTAAAACTGAGCTCATTAGTTAGAGTTATTGTTAACATTCCAGTTCCCTGGAGGAGAGCTGTGACACACTCGCTATTTATTTTTGTGCACAAAGCTATTAATAAAGCATTTGTTTCTGCAGAAACATATTTAAAACTTTTGTTTCCACACTATGATTTTCCCCTAGTTGTTTTTCACACTGTAAATATTATGGGAAAGTTTAAAAAAAAATCAAGAAAATGAAGATTGGGTGGTCTTCATTGTGGCAAAAGAAGAGAAACACGTAAGTGACATGAAGTGGATCTCCTTTTATATCTGTCCATGCCAGAAAATAGACTCCCCTTACTGCAGGTGTAAGTAGAGCTGGACGAAGGGAATGTGTGGAGCGTAACCAAATGTGAAAGCAAGGCTGAAGTTAAGGGAAACTCCTCAGTACCGGGAGCACAAGCCATGGCAGTGTGAAAGGGCTGGTGAGGATCCCCGGCACCAAACAGAGCACAGCTTTTCAAGGAGGAACATGGGGTGGGAAGCGCTGGAGGGGGAACAGCCTCCATAAACCACTATGGTCTGCTCCTTATTTCTCCCCTTCCCACTCTACTTCATCTACAGCTCTTAAATGTCTTCACTGCATTTGTAGCTGTGAGTGCAATAATATGTAGAGAGAACTGAGCTGGAAGGGAAATGAGTTTGACAGAAGCTGATAGACCCTGTTATTTGCATGGATTTTTGCAGCTGACTTTGCAGAAGTGTTGAAACCTCATCTCACTAGTTTAAAATTGCAGTTACCAGCATAGTATAGAGACTTCTGTGTAAGGAGGACCTATTTATTGAAGGGTAGTTGGGAACCTCAGGTCTGCGTCTCAGGATTTCTCTTCAGTGTTCTTTCTATTCCAGTACTCCAGAAGTTGGAACCAGTTGACAATAGGTTGAGAAGAATGGGGAGATGTGAGAATAACAAAGGGAGTCTTGTGATAATTTGGGGGGAAAACCGAAGCCTTTAGAGTTGCAGACCTTTTAACCTTGCAGACAATCAGAAAGGCAT